CTGGCTAGATCTTAACTGCCGGGTAGGCTCGTATGGAAGGAGTGTGAGCTTTGGAAGGTTAAGAAGGAGATGCTCAATGAAATGCTGTATTTTTCACTCCATAAGGCGCAGCTCTGCATAAGATGCACCTAATTTTTAGGGGAGCAAAACAGGAAAAAATGTTCTGGCAATTGCGGCCTGCTAGGCCTGTGGGGAGTGGTGGAAGATGGCTGGGAAGGGTCTGGGAAGGGAAGGGAAGGTTGCAGTTTTGGCCTGCTAGGCCCGCGGGGGTGATGGTGGTGGAAGAGGGCTGAGAAGGGAAGGTGGCGGTTTCGGCTTGCTAGGTCCGCAGGGGGTGGAAGACAGCTGGGAAGGGTCAAAAACGCCACCTTCCCTTCCCATACCCTTCCCAGCTGTCTTCCAACATCCCCACAGGCCTAGCAGGCCAAAATTGCCATCTTCCCTTCCCAGACTCTTCCCAGCCGTCTTCCACCACCACCCTGCGGGCCTAGCAGGCCGAAATCGCCCCCCCCCGTAGAACTCCGGGAGCTTACCTGGCCTTCCTCCGCAGCTTTGGGGCGAAACAGCTACCAAGAAGCAGCCTCTTTCACCACCTACAGTTAGAATTTAAATTGCACTCTTTTAAAAATCATATTCACACCATAAGACGCACACATTTTCCCCCACACACTTTTTTGGAGGAAAAAATGCATCTTATAGAGCAAAAAATACGGTAAATACTTTTGAAATGTGGACATACAGAAGAATCCTTTGTATCCCATGGACTGCATGAATCAAGAATGAAGAGATAATTCATTGGATGGGGGGGAGAAATAGAGTTGATTATAAAGGAACACGAGCTTTCATATCTTGGACACATAATTCATCATGACAAATGTAATTCATTTTAATACATAAATTGAAGGGAAGATTGAAGATAAGTGTGGAAGAGGTAGGAGATGGATCTCTTGGGTGAGTAGGATCAGAGACTGGCTGGACCTTAATAGACAACAACTAATCCACACAGGGAGAGATAGATGGAGATATGCCGTGATGGTTGCCAACCCCAGCAAATTAAATGGCACTCAGAGAGAATGGTCTTGTCAGCATTAGTGTGGTTGCCACTATTTTTCTCTAATCAGCCTGTCAAATATTTAGGTGTATATTACTCTAATTTGCAATCCATGCCCTAGCTCATAAAAATGAGTCTCTTGTAGTAGCATATTAATTATTAAATATGCAGAATAATGTACACTAAAAATCAAGGTCAATAAAACAAATGCAGAATAAGCAATTTAAATTACTTAGCTAGTACTATGTAATTCCATGTGCCATTAGATATATTAGAACAATTTTGGCTTTTTTCCGTTTTTTTCTGTTGCAGTTTCTTATCCTCATATTCAGTGCATGCTTAGGTCATTGGTGGTTTCAGTTACTCCAGAAAAAAAAAGTTTTCACATTATAAGTTAACAGGATTCTTTATATGTGTGTCCATGTATCCACCAACTGTAAACTGTAAACTCCCCTCTGCAAGTGTGACTCTGCCCCCCCCCCGTGCGCCACGGAAACCAAAGGGGCTGGAAACTATTACTGTGCTGCGCAGAGGAGGAGCCCTGCAATGAAGTCGCATGCTCAGCCGCACACTTTAGAGGGAAGCTTGCTTGGCACTATTCGGATCATTCACTACTGTAGCCTACGAATGTCCATCCATCTCATTCATCTACCTCATTCAATATTTTTAATATAATAATGAGTATTTCTGGGTTGTTGAGATTATTTACCAGAATTAGCCAGTTTCTTTGTTTTTATAACGAGAAGGGAATCATAGTTGATCCTTCTGCTAAGATACTGCTGCTTATTACTTTGCTCCACTTAACAGAACTCAGTTTCTTGTTTCTTAGGAGTAGACATTGAAATCATTATTATCTAATTCTCTGAGAAAGCAGGATTAAGGAAATGATATCTTTTAATGAGCATGGCCAAATCTTTGCTGAAAGAATATATACTTCAAGACAAGGAGTTGACTAGCAGATAGCTTTACCTGAATCTGTGTCTGATCTTGTACAAATGTGGCCCATTTATTGCATACCTAGGAACACAGTACCCTGTTAATGAGAGACAACTTACCAGTACAACATACATAGTTTGCCTTATGCATGTATAATATACCAATAGAATTCTGGCCAGTAATTCTTATGAGGTATTTTATACATTAAAGTGAAACCAGTTCATATTTCAAATGTCAAAATTAGTATACACATTCCTCCTTCTGTTGCAAAGCACTTTGGAAAACTGGAGAAAGCAGAAGCACTGACATAAAAACCAACTATTAATTTCATTATGTTTAATTCTAGAGCAAAGAAAATGAATGTGAGCTTTGGAAGGTTAAGAAGGAGATGCTCAATGAAATGCTGTATTTTTCACTCCATAAGGCGCAGCTCTGCATAAGATGCACCTAATTTTTAGGGGAGCAAAACAGGAAAAAATGTTCTGGCAATTGCGGCCTGCTAGGCCTGTGGGGAGTGGTGGAAGATGGCTGGGAAGGGTCTGGGAAGGGAAGGGAAGGTTGCAGTTTTGGCCTGCTAGGCCCGCGGGGGTGATGGTGGTGGAAGAGGGCTGAGAAGGGAAGGTGGCGGTTTCGGCTTGCTAGGTCCGCAGGGGGTGGAAGACAGCTGGGAAGGGTCAAAAACGCCCCCTTCCCTTCCCATACCCTTCCCAGCTGTCTTCCAACATCCCCACAGGCCTAGCAGGCCAAAATTGCCATCTTCCCTTCCCAGACTCTTCCCAGCCGTCTTCCACCACCACCCTGCGGGCCTAGCAGGCCGAAATCGCCCCCCCCCCGCAGAACCCCGGGGGCTTCCCTGGC